TTACACCTTTTGCTGTTCATTAACCGCGAAGGGACTTTCAATCAAGCGAAACTGCATTGTCTTTAGCGCGAACGAACGTTCATTAACGCTTAGGGAGTTTCAAGAGCGTGAAGGGAGAATCATTAACATATTTAGCATAGACATGGACAATCATGCATAACTGGGCGCAGATTCATTAACGTTTTCAAACCTTCATTAGCCCATTATGTGCATTCAATAAACTACAACAAACATACAATACCAAAATACGGACATTTAATTTCGTCATAGTATTTATTTCTAGGATTTAAAGAGTGTTTAATAAGTGTGATATTTTACATACAAAAATTATCTTCATCCTTGAATATGCTCTCTATTTAAGCATCTTGGTAAATAAGTTTGCATATGGTTGCGGTAGAACTATTAACCCCCAATGTAGCGGCAACCGCTAGATAATCCTCGGCCGGGTCCTCATACGCTCTTACAAGACGCTCTTTCACTTCGCTCGAAATTCGATGTCGACGCGGAGGCATTGCATTCCAACTTTAAACAAGTCGTAGTAGCTGTAACGAGTCATATTTCATGCTGAAATTTGACTGCAAAAACTATGACGAAATTAAATGTCCGTATTTTGGTATTGTATGTTTGTTGTAGTTTATTGAATGCACATAATGGGCTAATGAAGGTTTGAAAACGTTAATGAATCTGCGCCCAGTTATGCATGATTGTCCATGTCTATGCTAAATATGTTAATGATTCTCCCTTCACGCTCTTGAAACTCCCTAAGCGTTAATGAACGTTCGTTCGCGCTAAAGACAATGCAGTTTCGCTTCATTGAAAGTCCCTTCGCGGTTAATGAACAGCAAAAGGTGTAATATCCAATCATGCTTAAAATATCTAACAGATTTTTTTGCATGAATTTAAAATACTTAAGAAATATACCTGACATGTACAAAGTACTGATCGTAGCCCCCAAACCAGTGCCACATGTAAACGAATGAATTGTGAAGTCTTGATGAAGTGAAGTTGCAGAGAGAAAGCCAATTTCTGCAGTCCCCATGCCAAAGGATGCTACAACAACTCCAAGCAGCCGAAGCGCAGGAGTTGGAATAAGTGTAATAATCAGAACTCCAGCGCCAAAAAATAAAGCTGAAGCAACAGCTTTGTTCATAAGTGATAATTTATCGATATAGTAAGGCAATATTAAAGTCATTGCGAAATAAGGTGTGTTGAAACACATGATAATTGAAGTTGTGGCGATATTTGTAGACGCTAGAATGTCTTGGGAAGAAATCAGAATTGCGGTATAAAAGACATACGTCGTTACTGCAAACCCAAGAAAGCAAAAAACATCACAAGACGTCTTTGGTAAAAGTGGAACTTTAGCGGCGTCTTCTGTTTTCTCTGTAAATGTCTTTCCTTCCATTTCAAGATCATACACTGAGAGAAACCAGACTCAGCTATGTAGTTCTAGTTTTGATAGCACTATTGAAGCATGAATTACAACTTTCATTTAGTGGATTCTTGGTTGAGAGATGAGTCGTCTGGTAACGCGCCCACGTCTGCATGGAAAAATTGAGTTGGTTGCCATGATTTCCACTGATATTTTTACCCGTTGATATGCTGCAACTTCTTATTGAGTATCACGAATCATCGAGCTGAGCGCAAGGTGAATAAATAAATCAAAGGTGTTGACATGCTATTACACTCTAAAAATAATTCAATGGAAACTTTAATGGTCGGAAGAACAAGCCATTGTTTTTATGCAGATTGAACTATTTCTTACTGTGACGTAAGAAAAAAAACAGGATTATGAGCAGTTGCTAATCAAAATGCAAACTTATTCAGATTATCGCAAAAAAAAAATCCATAGAGTCATTTTCATCCGTCTGTGCAACTATTGCTACTAGTCATTGTTTTAAAATAGTAACTATTAGGGTGTAGCAGGCTACCAAAAGGCAAAATCAAAACCGTGTTTGCCTAATTAGTTTGTACCATGTCATAAGTTAAACTATTGGGAGCTAATAGGGGGTAATTCCTATTTCACAGACGGATAAATGGTAATATTATGAAATGACATTTTGACAAGATATAGTTTCTGCTGTCGTTTCAAATGCAAATTATCGAAGGTCTAACTGTGATGATGTGGTAGAAGCAATTATGTTAAATAAAAAAGGGATTTAGGCGGATCTTTTATTTYAGTTCCAATTAGGCCCATAACTCCCAAAAGGCTTAGTYATATATTAAAACTGAAAAGACCGAAAGAAAAAACATTTTTCTGAATCATTTTATAATCAAGGCTGAATTTCATTTACAAAAAATCAACGCCATGAACGCTCGCGATCAAGGGTCCTACCTATGCGTRGGAATCGAATATTCACAATGGCATTGTCAAGTTACCTTCAGCTTGATCCGAAAGATATCAAGCATAATGAAAATTGAACGTGTACAATAATCTAAACAGTTAATTTGCCATGAATCACTCCTTTGCGTCGGCAATACCTCCAGATGTAACCGCAAATGTTGCTTCATTTTCTGGCAAGTCAGGACTGAAAACAAGCACATAAGAAATAGTTTTATAAACTGAATGCCTGATTGCAGGGAGTTTGTCAAAGGGAGGTTATTAGCAGCATTACCTATCGTAGATTTTCGCGATTCGAGTCTCTCCTCTCCCTTTTCTGAGACTAATGCGAGTTGTCGAAGCATGGGCGAGAATATGACCTCCAATAGGCTTTTTAGGATCCGCCTGAAAACTTATCGAGTACATGGTGTGGTAAGATTTTAGTATTTGATGTAATAAATTAGTAGTCTTTTTTATTCATCCGATCTTTCACTTAATCTTCCGAATATCGTCTTTAATTCATGTACTGATAATGCGTTAACAAGTATACATTGATTTATACCAAGATAAAGCAGCACCTACCTCATCGTTGCTGCAGGAGCATGCCACAATGTTAAAGCRAAAGTAGTAAGCAAATACAAAATAATTAGTGTCTTAAATTTACAAACAAAAAAGGCATTTATAATGTCTGTGCATACCTCCAGGATCAGCTGTCATCTGAAAAAACGAAAACAAAAATATTTATTCATATACTTTATTAATATTTCAAGACTGTTGTTTTATTTTTTTTGGGGGGGGGGGATATTCATAAAAATGATTAACGGAATACTTGCCTGATTAGTTATAAAAACTGCAACATTGAACTCTGGAAAAGAAATGAAATCTTATGTTTGGTGGCTATGGTCATGCAGTGCATGTAYCTCYCTGATTCAAATTCAGRSGCAGGAACGCCTGATTGCACTAATCCAAATACAYTTTCGGCTCGTTCAGTTACCTTCTGATAATTTTTGCAGTTTTGACAACATTTGCGCAAGTTTTTGCTGTCTGTCTGCAAGTTCACCTCGCCCGGAGAAATCAACCCGGAACAACGCCATTACWGAGTCCACAATCTGTGGAGAGGAAAGACAAAATGTGAGTAACTGTGTACGTATATCATTGAAAACTTGAAAAGAAGCACTCACTAATAGTTTGAATACACCCATTTCTTCATGGAACTTGGCAGCAACACTGTCCAAAAGTTCGAACTGATGTTCACCTTAGAAATATATTATTTTCAATAAGGTTATATATAAATCGACGCACCGCTTTAAAGACACCTGATCCTGCCCGTGTATCACTATATATCACGTCTATAAAAATGATATATAGGTCGCTCAAACATTCCTGATCCTGCCACAACCAGTACCTACTGCAACCACCTTAAACGATTAWARSCMA